AGAAAGAAAGAAAGAAAGAAAGAAAGAAAGAAAGAAAGAAAGAAAGACCCGGAAGAGGGGGAGAGGCAGAGAAGAGGAGGGTGAGAAAGACAGTAAAAGAGGCCAGCTGGGAACACGTGGGAACAGAGTGTGAAATCTTAAAATTAACTTTCAAAAAGAAACTAAGGTAACTTTTAAGTGTGCTTCCAAATATCAGCAAACTGAGTTATAGGTGCGAACTGATTGGTGTTGACTAAAAAAGTAACACTATTCACGTACTTTGTACCTTTGGCCACTTGGGACACATTTTCCCTCAATACAATTGTCATGGAACTAAATAAAAAATAAAATAAAATCACTCAATGATAGGAACCAGGAAATGAGCTTTAGAGAATCAGAATAGCAAGCCAGAGTGCTGGAGAGATGGCTCAGTGGTTAAGAGCAGTGTCTGCTCTTCCAGAGGTCCTGAGTTCAATTCCCAGCAACCACATGGTGGCTCACAACCATCTGTAATGGGATCTGACGCCCTCTTCTGGTGTGTCTGAAGACAGCTACAGTGTACTCATATAAATAAATAAATCTTTTTTAAAAAAAAAAGCCGGGCAGAGGTGGCACATACCTTTAATCCCAGCACTTGGGAGACAGAGGCAGGCAGATCTCTGAGTTCGAGGCCAGCCTAGTCTACAGAGTGAGTTCCAGGACAGCCCGGGCTATAAAGAGAAACCGTCTCGAAAAAAAAAACAAAAAAAAAAAACAAAAAAAAAAAAAACCAGAATAGCAAGTCAGCTATTCCTCTAGTTAATCTAGACACTGGTTTATCCATCACTCACAGCCTCACTAAAATGTCACCTTTGCCTGCATCCTCTAGTCCCTGAATGCTCAAGCATATTAACATTCTTTTCATTTTTACTATATTGAATGAACCATTATAAGGCAATGTCTTTAGAAAGTTTCCAGGTTTGCTGGGAGTTCAGCAAATACTAAGCACCTCCAAATTGCTTCAGTATGGGATCAATTTATCCTTAATGAAGTCACCAAGTAAGAACATAACGTTGGGCCTGAGGAAATGGCTTTGTTTAAGGGTTAAGAGCCAGAATAGCTGACAACTGCCTGTAACTCCATCCATAGAAATAGAAAATACATAATTCCATTTCAGAGTAAGTTAAAAACAGGACTTATGGCATCCATCTTAATCTAACAGTACCATAGTCCCTCAAAGAATCTTAAAGGATTGCTAATGCTTCTGAGGTAAGCTGTCTTCATCCATAGAAATACATAATAGAGAAATTCATTTAGTGACTTCCCAACTCCAGGTAATTATAAAATCCAAAGTAATGTGTTAGTTATAACTAACAGTTTAATTAAAGGTAGAACTTGCCTGAGTGAAGCAGGAAAGCACCAAGGTTCCAATATTGTAAGGACAAAACTCAACTATTGCTTCATTTCTACTAGTGGTTATGGTAGTGTTAAAATCACCCATCAAAGCCAGGCTTGGTGGCACATGCCTTTGGTTCTGGCACTCAGGAGGCAGAGGTAGTCAAGATCTCTGTGAGTTCAAGGCCTGTCTGGTCTACATATGGAGTTCCAGGACAGTCAGGGTAGAGAAACCTTGTCTCAAAAAAACCAACAGGAAAAGTAAGTACGAGAGAGAGAGAAGCAAGCTGGGGCTGGGCATTTGCTGCCAGGACCTACATAGTAAAGAACCTACCCCTTCAAGATGTCCTCTGCAAATTGTCCTGACCTTCACATGTGGACTGTGACACATGTCAGTACAACACACACACAATTAAATGTAAAAAGCCACATGAAGCTGACAACTATCACTTACCTGACAGAAAGGAACTCAGAGAAAGGGGAGAGGGACCGTGAGGGGGACAGGAAGGGGGTGATTAATGGAAAAAAAGAACAAATCATAGTGTACTTTACCTCCTCATAAATGAGTGCTAGTTCTGAGCTCAAAAGGTGTACAATCAAAGGTGTTAAAATTTGTTTAATCAACATTTCAGATTGATCTGTATTTGAATAACTTAGTACTAGTTTGAACATTTCTACAGATCTCATAAAAATGTTCCGAGGTTCTTTTTTGAGACAATGTCTCAACTATGTAGGGCCTGAGTAGCCTGGATCACTGCAGTGACACTCCCTGTCTCAGGAGTACTGAGATTGAAGGTATATGCTACCACACCCAGCTTAAATTTTATCTAACAGCATTAAAACATAGTTATAAACCTTGAAAACTATTTCTAGTAAACAAAATATAGAATTCCTATCAGATAAATTGCTAAAGGCAACAGAAATTCCATGTTCTGCTTATTAAAACTTTGTAAATGACTATAGACTACAGTTCTAACCAAAAGGAATAATGGAACCTGTGATACAATTAACATTTCGTTTAGTTTACACCTTACACAGGAAGTCCGTTGCCATATACTATAAATTCAGGACAATCCCCAAACCTAAATGTTATATAATATTGCTATAATTACAGAAAACCAACAGGAGAGGCCAATGAGTATCAAAAGTTTGATACTCATTGTATCAAAAGTATCACTTTAAACTCATGATTAACAGACACTCTTACTTTTTTCAGCAACAGCTAAATAACTAGCAAGCATATGACAGATCCTAAGGATTAAGTATTATGCTGAAAAATCTACCTCCTAATTAAGATGAATATGCCATACAGTGTAAGGAGGTAGTAGTCTTTAGCAAACCTAGCTCATACAGGATTATTATTCCCTTGGGTTTGGTGACAGTGTAAAGTCTCTAAGCAGAAGGGTGTTAGTGACAATTCCAAATATAACCATGAGGTAGAGAGCACTAAGCGTAACCTATATGGTCAAACTCTTGATCCAGTGCTCTCCTAAAACAGCTCTGTGGTTATTTATCCATTAGCTGTAATTTCAACTTACTATAAAGGTGCCTTCCTGATCATAGAGTTCCCTCATACCACCTCATAGGGAAAAAAGTCATTTTAAGAGACAATACAGCTTAAATAAATGAAAAGTCATCATGCTTGGCTTCATTTACAAAGAAAGAAAACAAAACCTAGGATGAAGGTTTCAAATACTTTATTTCTTTATTAGTTTTTCAGTCTGCCATAGTTTAATGAGTACATGATTCTTTGACTTGGCATTCACTTATGAGTTAGTTTGGAAACAATTCCTTGATTATTGTACCAGCTGACATGACTACTGATCTCTCCATTCCTTTGGGGTGACTCTGCCAACAGGGGACAGGTTCCATTCTATTCCAATTTGTGTGGCTGTCTGTAAGAATTAAAAGGCTGTCAGTTATACATATTTAAACCATAGTCCATTCTCAACTTGGAAACTGTATCTTCAAAATTACAAAGAAATTCTCCTCAGTTTAACAATAAACAGCGAGTCACCTGGGATATAGTGCTTTACACAGCAGTCAAAACATTGCTGTCTGTTCTGAGTTGGAGAAAATGGTCTAAATCTGCATTGTCCAATATAAGACTCACTGGCCACATTTGGCCATTAAGTAGTTAGAATGTCTAGTGGTGATGGCACACACATTTAATCCCAGCACTCAGTAGGCAGATGCAGGCGATTCTCTGAGGACACCCTGGTCTACAGCAGGACAGCTGAGATTATACAGAGAAACTCTGTCTCCAACTAACCCCCATCCGAAAAAAAGTATGTGGAATGTGATAGAAGACTGAGGAAATGAATTCTGAAATTGTTCTTAAATCAAAACTATATTTTAGGGCTGGAGAGATGGCTCAGATATTAAGAGCACTGACTACTCTTCCAGAGGTCCTGAGTTCAATTCCCAGCAACCACAAGGTGGCTCACAATCATCTGTAATGGGATCCTATACCCTTTTCTGACGTGTCTGAAGACAGCTACAATATACTCATATACATAAAATAAACAAATGTTTGAAGACCCTGGGTTCAATCCTCACCACTAAAATTAATAGTATATTTCAGGCAAGGGTTGAATTATCCCTTTTATTGAGACAGCTTTGGTTCCATGTAGCCAAGGGTGACCTTAGACTTGTTATGTAGCTAAGATGCCCCTAAACCCTTGATCTTCCTATATCTCTACTGTTGAGATTACAGGTGTGTGCCACCTCACACAGCAATCTGTATCACTTACACAGAAATATATTTATTAAAATTCCAAAATTACCACTTTTAACCAGAAAATAACTAGAAGACAAGTTGTTAAGCAACAGATGTAGAACCCTAAAATATGGCAAACAAGGTATATTTCAACTATCAAGAAAATTATGGGGCTGGAGAGATGGCTCAGTGGTTAAGAGCATTGACTGCTCTTCCAGAGGTCCTGAGTTCAATTCCCAGCAACCACATGGTGGCTGACAACCATCTGTAATGGGATCCAGGGCAGTGGTGGCACACGCCTTTAATCCCAGCACTTGGGAGACGGAGGCAGGTGGATTTCTGAGACTACAGAGTGAGTTCTAGGACAGCTAGGGCTATACAGAGAAACCCTGTCTCGAAAAAACCCCCCAAAAAAAAGAAAGAAAGAAAGAAAATTACATTTGGGTTTTGGAGTTGTTTTCTGTTGAGCCCTCAGGTTTGCTATAGCTCTAACTGCTCTCATTATTCTCTCAGTCTGTCTGCCTCAACCTCCCATGTGCTGGCACTGCACGTGTGCATCTCCAACCACACCGGCTTGTGCCTCAGCTGTGACTACAGAAGTTTAGAAGGAAATCAGGTCACTGAAGTATATCAAGGAAGATGACTCAAAATACGAAAATCCAGAAATTATACAACAAAAAACCTGGCCAACATATCTATAAATCTTTTCAGTTGAATAAAGATACCATGGCAATGTTGTTGTTCTTATTGCTGTGAATTGCACCCAGGGCCCTGTCAATGTCAATCATGTACTTTATAACCTATGACAGCAATCTTCTACTAGCTGATGTCATATGGAAATATGATGGGACAGAATTTCTCTACTGCATGAACTGATGTACAAATTATGAAGATAAGCATATGTAACTCAACATTAGAATGTTTTAACTGTTTTGGGGGTAACCTCTCACTATGTACATTATATAGCCCAGGCTAACCTCACATTTGTAGATATATAACACCATGCTTGGGCTCCACAAATAAGATTCTTATAACAGATACACAATACAGAAAAGGGCTGCCTTATAATCCAACAAAAACTTTGTTACTAGAAACATTAAAAATGCCGGGCAGTGGTGGCGCACGCCTTTAATCCCAGCACCTGGGAGGCAGAGGCAGGTGGATTTCTGAGTTCGAGGCCAGCCTGGTCTACAGAGTGTGTTCCAGGACAGCCAGGGCTACACAGAGAAACCCTGTCTCGAAAAAACAAAAAAAAAAAATTAAAAACATGAATGAGCCGGGCAGTGGTGGTGCACGCCTTTAGTCCCAGCACTTGGGAGGCAGAGGCAGGCGGATTTCTGAGTTCGAGGCCAGCCTGCTCTACAGAGTGAGTTCCAGGACAGCCAGGGCTACACAGAGAAACTCTATCTCGAAAAACAAAAACAAACAAACAAAAAAAAAGATGGATGAATGCTGAATGCAAAGGAAGACACACATATTGGGTTGATCAGATAGTCTTTCCAATCCTTCCTTAACTAGAACTAGATGAGAATAAAACATATTAACATAGACTAAATGAGAATAAGACATATCTAAATTAAAAACCACTGAGCCTGAGATTATAGCTCAATGACAGAGCACTTGCCTAACATGTATGAGACCCTGAGTTTAATCCCTAGCACTGCAAAAGAAATTATCAACTAATAGTACTTACATATGTCCATGTAGATATACAGAAGATGCCTCCACCTGCTAATATAGCATTTCCATATTTATCATGGAAATTAGGTGTCCTCTTCTGATGGCTCTGCCTTGCCACCACTTGCTGAATGCTTCGAACTTAGAAAAGAACACAGAAATACATAAATCAGTTATCAAAAAACAACACAACTGCCAATCAAGAAAGCAAAGGTAGTGAACTCTACAGACTACAATTCAACTAAATGTTAACCACAAGAACAAGTGATCTGGCAGTAGTGGTGCATGCCTTCCTTTAGTCCCAGCACTTAGGAGGCAGAAGCAGGCGATTTCTGAGTTGAAGATCAGCCTGGTTAGAAGCCAATTCTAAGACAGAGAGAGCTACACAGAGAAACCTTGTCTCAAAAAAAAAGAGAAAGAGAGAAAGGGAGGGAAGGGAGAGGGAGGGAGGGAGGGAAGAAGGGAGGGAAGGGGGGAAGAGGGGGGGGAGGCAGGCAAGAAGGAAGAAGGATGGACAGTCAGGAAGAGGGACAAACAAGTAAGCACCTTCTCAAATGCTGTGAAAATAAGACAAACTGCCAGGCTCACATATGAAAGAAAGCTCAGCACTTAGGAGACTGAGACAGGAGAATTGCCAGGAGTGCAAGGCCAAACTGGGCTATACAGTGAATTCTAGGCTATCCTGAGCTACAGTTAAATAATCCATCTCAAAAAAATTAATTTGAAGTCTAGAGATGGCTCAGCGGTTAAGAGTACTGATTGCTCTTTCAGAGGTTTTGAGTTCATTTCCAGCAACAACATGGTTGCTCACGACCATCTGTAATGGAATCCAATGTCCTCTTGGGGGTGTCTGAAGATAGCTACAATGTACTTGCATACATAAAATTAATAAATCTTTTTTTAAAAAGAAAAGATCTCGAAAAGCAAAAAAAAAAAAAAAAGAAAATGAATATCATGAAGTAGGACAGAAACATGATTTTAAAAATACAATAAATGTTGACACAAAATGGTAAATGTACTTCACACAATTTTCTTTTCTGAATTCCTGAAAATTTTCACAACAAAAATAAAAATTAATTATCACCTTAAAACTATGCCCCCAAACTATGGTAAGCAGGATTTTAAAACAATTGGTAAAAAATAAGGTTTTTGATTATATAATAAGAGTAAGCGAGCAAGCATATTTGTAATCTAAGCACTTGGAAGGTGGAAGCAGGAGAATCAGCCTAGGATGCATGAGACCCTGTCTCAAAAAATAGAGTAGAAAAAAATGTATGAGATACAGATTTTATCATCAAGTAATTTCTAGCCTAGAAGTGAGTATTATACATGAAGACACAGGAATCTCTGTCGTACAAGAAAGTAAGAGTTAACTCGGCATTTAGGCAAGTAGGATTTGTTCATATAGATGTAGAAAAATGGAATTAAAATTGACAGAGATAGATCGATCTACTATACCAAAAAGCCAATCAAGTTTGGATGAAGAACAAGGTATACAGGCAGCTTAGTTTAAGGAATAAAACTCAAAAGAAGTGGTAAATACCAAGAAAAGCATTAGTTTTTCTCCTTAAATCTAGACATCACTTCCTTATTGTTTTAAAGGTCTTTAAAGGTGCTTAAAGATACAGAGGAAAAAGCAATGTTGAATTGAGGTGTGACGGTTTATACCTGTACTCTCAGTACTTGGGTGGCTAAGATCGAAAAACTATGCTCCATATTGATGCCAGGCTGGGCTGCAGAGTAAGACTATTTCAGAGCTTTGGGTTCAAATTCTATCAAA